AAGAGCAGGTATTTGAAATTATTAGGAGTCGCAGAAGATAGCCTGTAGGTTCTGCCAAAAAAAGAAAACCGCAGAATTTATTATACCCTACTCTAAAAGTATACATACATTATGGAAAGACAAACTTAACTGAAAATTCACTATCAAGACTGCGGAAGTTAACAAAAATTCTGAAGATAAATAGCGAGCTGATAGAAGAGAAGTACAATAGTACTACTTGCAAAAAACTCTAGCTACTTAAGAAAAAATCTAATTTAAGCTTTCATTTCTGATGTCAGATTTATCTTGATCCATTCTTAATGTATCTTCAGTGTACCAGTCCTCACGTCAACTCGAAACCTAGATTCACAATTCATATATTGAAAAAGGGCAAGAAACAAACCGACGTTACAATTTTACCACGATCAAATTTGGACGAACGACTGCGAAGTTTGGGACTCGACCAAACATTTAAACTTCCAACTCGTCGAATTCTTTCAATCTAAAAACACAAAACTCTTAAACTGTCGATTAATAAATAAACAACGATCTTCACAGTTTGTACGTAGTTTGATTCAATCCCATTTCATCGATCATTCAACCCTGATCCTTATCCTCTAGTCCAACGGTTATCCTTGCCCACCCCACCTGTTAATCCTAATGACTGAAGCTAAAGTGGCCGAGCCACCTGCGTGATATTGAATGTGGTTCATGGCAACGGTAAATTTCAGAAGCCCAAATAAATGGAATAATTCTGAGGAATAAGGCAGACCATGAGGATCAGAATACGGAAAAATTAAGAAAAGTCTCTAAACCAAATTTCTTAAACAACAACGTCGGTCTGTACAAAAATATTGTGTAATTGTTCTGAAAACTAAATACATTTCAAAAGTATTTTTCAAAATATTTAAATCGTACAGCTTTTTCGTTGAAAAAAATTATAAAAACATAATTTATTGATTTTTTTATCGTTTTACTCTCTTTCAAGTAAAACATCAATGAAAGTAGTCTGTTCAAGACTACCTTCTTTTTTACGTGCATGATGGAAAGAGTATTTACATCTTCATTATACCTTTGATATTGAATACAACAGGCAATTTAAAAAAATTAGAAAAAATGACAAGCGTACTTTTAACAATGAAAATGTACAGACAGTTTTCCCTTAAACCCACTGGCTGAGGTTTTTGTTTTCCATCAAAACAGTTGAACAACCAAATGGAAAATTTAACCGATCGGTTTTTAGCTCCAGAACAGTTATTATTTTCATACCAAATCCTAACAGCAAGAGGAATTTCAATTAATAACCATACTGGGAAATCCTTGCAAAATCCGAGAATTTCTCAAAGTTTAAATTCAACATGACAAGGGCATAATTTATTCACCTTTTGAGATGTAAACAGTCTTTCGTTATAGGATTACTTTCCACGGAGTTTCTTTGTTGTATTATTGTTAACAACCAACAGGTCTTAACCGAGATCCTCCCTACGGGAAAAGTCTTTGAGGCGTATTATATATATAGTGAATATTATATTATTAANTATATATATATATATAATATTCACTCCTGTAACACGTTGTTAACAATATTAAAACAAGGGAGACTATGTTTACCTGATAATTAACAAAGAACCTAACGTCCACAGACATATGAAATTATAAACACCCGGGGGAAAAAATTTTTAAAGAGTTATTTTAAAAAATGGCTTTGTTTTTCTAGTTGTTACACATAAATGGGACAATTATTTTAAACTAACGATTATTCTTAGACCCTTCCTACTTCTTAGAAACCCATCAGTCTTTTGCATACAATCACTAAGGTTCTAGAAAAACTACTGCTACAGGAATGCTGGTTCATTTGCAGGCGTATAATGAAATGCCTTCCCACATTATTCCTAGCCATCAGTTGCAACTCGTCTATCCATCAAGCTCATTGCATAATAGACGGCAATGTCTCTGCCCTCGAGCTGAAGAAGTACTACCCTGATGTCTCCCCGGATATATCTCAAGTATTTGACAGGATGAGGCACTTTGGTGAAAGCTTATTGGCATCCTATCATCTACCTTATACCAGATACTTGTCGTACTAAATTGTCTAAAACACTTCTTTCTTCTCGGTTTACCGGATTTTTGTTTGTGCCCTAGCACTAGGGTAGAGTATTACTTGCTCATCTCCCCTATACACTTGTAATATACCCACTCACCCTGACTCTTCCTCTTTTACCTCTATAACAATACTCTGATAAAGGCCCAGCTACAGCTTCACATAATGAACGTACAAAATCTCTTACAAACTCTGAAATCCAGGATCCGCTAGTGAAGGATCAAGGTTTACGAAACTAAATCCAAATATATATAGTTTTTACCCTTAACAAAAAAAAATCCCTCTATATTTCAGTATTTTTCTATTCACGTTGCGAACCACCTACAATGCCTTGGCATTTACCTCAACGAACGACTTACATACGAGACTCAAACGTAAAGACTTTAATAAAAAAAATTCAGCCTTGATGATGTGTGTCGGTCTGCGAGTCGGTGAACCTATGCTTGAAGCGGCATAGGGTCACTTATTGGGTCCGTCCTCACTCGGGAGTTTGTAGGATTACTCAAACACATTTCGGCATTGCGCCATTTTCAGTGATAAATCGTCTAAACATGTTTGAGTAATCCAACAAACCCTTAAGTGCAGACGGTCGGAATAAATGATTCTATGCTGGTTCAGAATAAGATTCATACTTCTAAAAAATGACAGGCACTCTAAACATAAATTAATAAAAACAAAAAACGAACTATAAACTACCTACACCTTCCTCGAGCACCGTTAGATTGGGTGGATCTAAGGGAAACGTTAAGTTTAAAAGCCCCTTTTCCAGAACCAAAATATTAGGAAATTGGCGCGGTCCGCTCGTATAGGGTCTCCCATAAAATACGGCGGGGTGGCGGATGGGCTCTGCTCTGCTAGTTCCCTTTGGACACACTCACCTCTAAGCGGTTCCCATCTTAACAGCCTCCAAACCCTACAATCTGAAATTTTCAATTGATCATATAACACTTCATGCTGAACTTTCTACGTCTATTATAACTTCGTTTGCTCCGTCATCTCTAGTTTATTGCAAAGGGTCGCAATAAAAAAGGCAGCCGTGATTGCCTTGGGATGTGCACTACTCAAAAGGAAGGAGTTGCTATTTATTTGTTGTTGTTTTATTTATTAATGTTGTGCTATTTATTAATCATCTTTATTTAAGTAATACATAACTACTTACACTTCTGCAAAAAATCATGCGATACTGGCAACGTCTAGGTCTAGACTAGACTGCCAAATGAGTGTATCTTTCGTTATTGGATTTTCTTTTGAGTGTCATAGTTAAGCATAAAGCATAAAGTTTCCGATCATTTCCGGTCAAACCCAACAAGTTGACGAAAAGCCGGAACGCGTCTGACAGGTCAAACCAGCGAATATAGGCAGATCAAAGTCTCCGCAACTTACAGGTTTAAGAATGAAGGAGAAAGAGTTTTTTCTTTTTCAGAATCTACAGTTGTACAAAGAAATAAATGTTTTCATGTTATTGTTTTTTCACTTATTTTTAAATAAAATTCGACAAAAATGAATTTATGAATTTCATTGCCAGGATTTCAGTGTTCAAAAACCTTCCTGCTTTTAACCTCACTTTGACCCGGTTAATTAAGGTAAATATTCAAAGGAGTGCTCAAGTTTTCTCGGAGGCACGTCACCTTTGCCACGACGCTCATGATATAACCATAATAACCGCGTTAGGAAGCGAGCCTGGAAACTCTTCGTTACTGCATATTTGAAAGGCTGATGAAAAAAAATAATAAAAAAAGGCCTGCTTATGAATTATCCAGCTTATCGATATCCAGGGTAAAACCTTAATCGAGCTGAATATTTGAAACGCCTCTCCGTGCGAGCTCTTGGACATAATGGTCCTCCCTGAGGCGGGGGGAAACGGGAGGCCAGGGATTACGTTTCAAATCCCAAGCTTACTCCAGAGCCGACATCCTCTTCCCCTCGTTTAAAAAACGCCGAAGAAAAGATCCTCGTCACACCGCTCTGCATTTTACAAACTTGACTAAATCAGCTCTGAGGACGGGGTTGGTAAAAGCCTAGCATGAATATTCTTTTATTTTTAATTTGGACAAATCCCCATTGTTTGGTTTTTTTGGAGAGTCAGTGAATCAGTAATGATCAGCAACCTTTATTGACCGATTTGGAAAAGCGATATAAAATTTCCCATGTCTGACAATTCAGAACGAATACTCGAGTTTCGTTGTACAATCAAGTACAACCTTTTCAAAAAACGCCTACGAAAGAGTTTATTATATGATAAAATGCATGATAACATATTGATGAAAAAATATTTATGAGCCATAACACATGCGAGAGTTCTTCCTGGATGAAGAACATGTAGCTCAGTTGTTTGTGAAAATTCCTACCAATCTTTTTGGTCTGACAGATGCATTTCGACTTTTTCTGAGATCAGTTTTTATCATAGTCGCGTTCTTTTCGTACGTTAGTGAAAGAAAACATGGACATGTTGGTGACAGTCGTACACAAGCATATAAAAAAATTGTAGAAGGAAGAAAGATAGGTCTGTGTTAGCAAAGCCATGGGGACAAGAAAACCAACATAATCGAAAACGTCCAAATTACATAAGAATTTTCAATGTTAGTTTAAAGTTTACAATTTGAAGATCGTGTAGTATCCGAAAGACAGAAATAAGTTTGTTATCCTGAAAGATAATAAAATTCTCTCTCTCTCTCTCTCTCTCTCTCTCTCTCTCTCTCTCTCTCACACAAACACACTCTCTCTCTCACTCTCTCTCTCTCTCACACTCACACTCTCTCTCTCCCTCCCCTTCCACTCTATATCTCTCCTTATCCCTCTCTCTTTCTCTCTCTCACTCTCTCTCTATCTATCTATCTATCTCTCCCTCTCTTTATTTTTCTCTTTCTCTCACTCAGACAATTTATTATCTGACTAAAAATTGACGATTTTTCTGTTGCAGTCAACTGCCTGGATCCAACTTGCTCCGGACATGGGACCTGCGTCGCCGGTCAGTGCTATTGCAAAGCGGGCTGGCAAGGAGCAAACTGCAGTTCTGTGGACCAGCAGGTTTACCAGTGCCTCCCCGGTTGCTCAGAACATGGAGCCTACGACCTAGAGACGGCCTCCTGCGTTTGTGAATCATTGTGGACTGGCGCCGACTGCTCACAACGTACGTATAACCGTTTTTTTTTTTTTTTTTTTTTTTTTTTTTTTTTTTTTTTTTTTTTTTTTTTTTTTTTTTTTTTTTGGGGGGGGGTATTGAATTCCATCGTTCACGTTCGTAATTGGTATTTATTTATATTTCTTTAAACACAAACCCTCTCTCTCTCTCTTTCTGCTCATTGAAATGTAAGTCCAAGCCAAATCACAGTAGAATTCCTTGTTATTTGACGGGCTTTCAGTGATGAATCGCAAAAGGAGGAATCGGGTTAAACGAGATTGAGTGTCATCGTCATAACCCTCCAAGCACTTCGTTCTGACCTACATATTAATTTACCCTTTTATCATAGTGGTTTCCTGTTTCTCAGCGGAGTCGTATAATTTTCCCCCCTTTGTTACCTGCAGGATCTGAAGGAGAAAAGACAAATTGTTCCAACTCCCTTCAAAGGAACACCTAACCATTTGCAATATGACTTACGATCAACCTTTAAGGGGCGAGTAACATTACACCCTTGATGTTTCTTCCCATCATCCTTATTTTTAGATTCTCCGAAAAGCCCTATGATCAACATTAAGACGCCAAATCAGCATCATTAATATTTAACTGATTAACTTTATTAAAGTAAATATTGGCTACGTCAAAGGATGACAGTTCATTACATCAACATTCAGTTTCATTTTAACTGTAGCTGTTGTAGCTGAGTAGATAAATTAAGTAAAAGATTAAATGTGAAAACAACTGTCGATAATCCCTGAACTGGAATCTGACGGCAATAACTGTTCCACTGTGTGAACCCGCTTGTTGACTAACTACAGCAAACATTGCAGGCCTATTGACTTATAGATGTCTAATTGCTCGTACTCGAGTGGCCCGGAATTATCCATCGGACGTGGTTAATCCTTGATTAACATGATTTTATGTCTACAACATGGCGATTGCAATAAACGACCGATGGGGGGGGAGGTCAACGTATGTTTGTGTAAACACTCATTATTGACCACAATGCCTGCCAATCAGTATACATGAATATATAAATAAAGTTGAAAAATAGATATGTATTCAAACATGGTCTCTAGGTTTTATTTATAAAAAATACTTAATTGTTAAGATTGATTTGCAGTTGTTAACTTTATAATGAGTTACATATCTTCGAATATTTAATCAATCCAGCATGCTTTCCTCTTTTCTTTTAATGACAACTGCCATATGTAGTTCAATATGTTCTTTTACCTTATAAAGCATCTTTTCACTACCTTAACTATGCATATAAATGTATACCTTCCTTGCTCTTGAAATGTCATGTTACAATCTAAGCAGATCTTTCTATTCATAATTAATACACCCACCCAACCTCCTACACTTTAACCATTTTTCCTCTGTTATATTTGTAATTATATTTCTTTATACACTAACAAAAATTTTCTTTTTATACCTTTAGTATAATAATTTACTTTGATTTCTACACATAATTTATCATTTTTGTTGATAACCCACTTTCAGCTTGGTGCCGTTTGGACTGTGGGCCCCATGGCCGTTGCGATTCTGGTCGCTGCATCTGCTCTGATGGTTGGACTGGAGACACATGTGACACTTTGCCGTGTGACTCTCGCTGCTCCCAGCATGGGCAATGCAAAAATGGAACTTGCGTTTGCTCACAAGGCTGGAACGGCAGGCACTGCACTTTGCGTAAGCCTCTTATTTCACTTTTTCTTTTATTAACTATAAAAGTCTATCGATTATAATCCCTTTCTTACAAACAGCCGGATGTGTAAGTGGATGCAGCAGACATGGTTCATGTATTTTGTACGAGGGTGAATACACGTGTCAGTGTTCCGATGGCTGGGCTGGTGTCGATTGTAGTGTCAGATTGGAAATGGAATGTACAGATGAACTTGATAACGATCACGGTAAAGTATTCCCATGAATTTTGTAATAAGTTTTTTTTTTAATGCAAATAAATGTTATATATTATATATATTTAACAATATATATGAGGAAAAAACTGATGAAGAAGTTAAATTTTCTAGATGGAATGGTCGATTGTTCGGATTCAGAATGTTGTTCCCATCCTGCTTGTACTGAGCATATAATGTGCCTTGCTTCAAATGACCCTGTAGAGGTACTTCTTCGTAAACAACCTCCTTCTGTGACCGCTTCTTTTTACCAAAGGGTAAAATTCCTCGTTGAGGAGAACAGTGTGCAAAGCTATGCCCACATGGATGAATACAGTGAGAGGTAAGTCCCTCAGAGTCTGCTTATTCAAAGTCAAAACAAACTACCTCCCCAATTTTTTCTATTTTACAAGGCAAAAATTTACTGAAGTTTTGATTTTTAACGATCAAGGTGCACCAAGGGACAAATTCAAAAGCAATTAATGTAGTTTTTTTATAAATGCCATAGATGAACCATTTTGGAAGATATTTAATGGCATGTAAATATCTTTGCAATTTTCTAGATCGGAAAATACCATCCGTACTAAATGAGCATGGAGATCAGCTTTGCCTTGTAACTAGTTTTATCCTTTCTCCATAGATTTTAATTAACTAATAAGCAAATTATACGCAACAACATTAATTACCAAAGATAATATTGTTGTTCGTATAGTTTTACAACTGTTGTTTTTAGAAAACAAAAATTCCTGAAGGTTTTAGAAGAATATATCTTCCTTATAGAAATGCTGGTTGAACGGGTTGAAAAAAACAACAGCACTTCTCAGTGGTTTACTAATTTCTTTTTAACAAATAAAACATTATTTCTTTAAAGGTTTATTTTTATTTTATTTTTTGTATTTTTATTTTTATAAACTTATGTAAGGTTTTGTAAAAGTTTGGTTTTCAGCTTTGTGCAAAAGCTAAACCAAAGTGTTACTCCAAAATACCTTTGTGTGTGTTTTGTCTATTGTCTTTGTCTAACCCATGCCTATCCTTTACAAAACTATAACACCTCCAGCCAGTGATGAGTTAAAGAAAGTACAAAATTTATTCTTACTAATTTCTTCTTCAGTTCTTTTGTTTTGACTAATGCAAAGTATAATTTCCTAACTTATAACTGGCTGATAACCTTGTGTGTCTGGCTCCCATTTGACCCTGTGATAAAACACCCTAGAAGCATTAATTAAAACTAAAAATCTAGTAAATCACTTTGTGCAAATTGTGAATTTGTGTGTTTGTCTTATCATAAACAAAACAAAGAGGCTGACCAGAACTCCGCTCAGGGTAAATATAAGGACTGACTTTAATTATTATTAACAGTTTAAAAAATAAAAACAAAATAAATTAAAGAAAAGCACTTTTAACATGAAGCATACATCCTCAAAGAAATTGAAAATGAATTTTTTTAAATAATAGTTTTTGGCACATCTGAAAAATCACACAAATAAATTCACAAAATAATAAAAGAAAACTGTAAAATCGCTGTTTTGCCGGAGCTAGTGTGATTACAAATTACAGCTTTTTAGAAGCTTGTTTTTATATGTTTCAACACTTTCTGCTACACTTTTTTGTTTGTTTGTTTTGGTTTTATATTTGGTTTCTTTTTGTCTTGTTCCTATGTTTTTATATGTTCATATATGTAAAATGAATTTTAAAACAAAACTGCTCACGTAACTATTGTAAGTTGCTTCAGCATAGCTCAAACTGTAGATTTTTAATTTTGATACAAACAGGTTTTGATTTATTTAGTGCCTTTATTGATTTACACAAAATAAAGCACTGAGGGTTTACTTAATCTTTCTTTTAACAATTATTATTACTTTCTATAATTTTTTTCCGTTCTGTTCTTTTGTTCAACTGTATTAGATTCAGTGAAATTTTATTTTCATGTGCCCTCAGTGCTTTTGCAGTATAATTTCACTCTCTTCCAGTTTGTCTTTTGTCTGTACACTTGTATACTGAATGTCTGCATAAATGGAAGTTTTGCTAATATGGATCACATACTGCCCCACACTATAACTCGGTTATCTATTGAGCAATAATTAGAACGGAAACCGAAATATATAAATAAATAGCTCCGTAAGTCAAACGAAATGTTTGAATAAAAAAGTGTTGAGTCGAATTTAAATTTTTAAAGCCATAATAGAGGAATTACATTTATAATATCCATGCGAAATCCCAGTCATGTGTGATTGTACACCTTACCCATCCTACCCTAATTAAAATGGCATGGATAAATAATTTTTTTCTTATTCAGATTTTTACTATTCATTTCTAATAATGAACAGTCACTTTAAAGTAAAAAAAAATTAAATAAGTCTCTTTAATTTCTATAAGGAAAACAGAGTACTGGTGAGAATGTGTATGTTTAGGTATTGGACATTTGGGTGATTCCATCATTGTTTTCAAGTACTTACACTAATTTCATTTGGTTAAATACTTTAAAGAAAAATGTAATTGTCTATTAAAATTTCCCTGTTCTGAACCATCCAGATGTCTAATTAGTTGTTTACTTTAACCACAAAGTAATGTGTCCTTGTGTTTCTCTCTGTCCTTCAATCCTGTGTGTAGTCAATTCTGGAACTCGTTTGTACCTCGGTAAGTTCAAAAAACGAAACTAAGACAATTTGCCCGAATCACAAACTTTCATTTCATTCCGCTCGAACCTTATATGTGTCTTTGTGTAGCTTTTTGTTTCACTGATTCCAATTTTAGTTAACTCCTTAATCATATTTGTGATGTGCCTAACACCCCTAATATTTCATCCATTGCTATGGTGATGTTTGAATCTCATTCACTTTTTTTAAAAGCTATTCAGCTATTTTGTATTCATTACTACCAAGTATACACACTTTTGTTATTTTTGTTTTTCAATGTTTGAATTCTACAACAAACAAAAAACAACCACCAAAACAATGGAGAAAACCTTACATCCTTTCCGCATTTTATGTGTGTGCAAGTGTCAAATTATTGTTATTTTAATTTGTTTTATTTAATATTATTTTTATTCATAATTTTTTCATGCACTGTTTTTTTATTTTTTTATTATTAATTTCAATATTTGTGTCTCGTCATTGTGAATGTTAACACTTGTATGTTATAGTTTAGTACTTGTTCGTGCTTTGTCAATTTATATTATTGGAAACCTAATTTAACATGGTAAAGAGGAATAAAGAAGGAGGCAAATTTACTGTGGAACAAACATTTTGGAAATTTTGTTTAATAATATAAAGTAAAAAAAAATATATAATGAGTTATGGAGAAAATAGCGATACAAAATTAACTTAAATAAGACTTCGACCCAAACGGCAGCCGTCTTTGACAAAAACCCTTAACCTATGTGTTTCCTTACCAATTGTCTTTTGTCTTTGTCTATTGTCTTAACCCAACCCCATTCACTATCCTAAATATTTTGTTGTATTTTTTCAGATATATTTAATTTTCTATTTTCATTTTTTTCTTTATTTACTTTTCTTTTCTTTTGTTTATCTTAACTAGAGGTTTTATATGTTTTGTGAAAATGTCAAAAGAAGAAATTAAGAACTGTTTACTCATACAGGATGGTTAAAGGTTGAAAACGGCCAAAAAAACAAAAAAAAATTAAATTTCATTGGCTGACCAATTTTAGCCCAAATCCTCCAGGACACATCCGGCTGAGATACCGAACTAAACCAAATTCCAAAGAAAATCTAATAAAATAGTTACAAACTTTGATCAATAAGTATACCATTCTGTTGTAGTCCTAGTCTATAATTTGTAACCAGGTCTATAATTATAAATTTCATTAATGGATCTCATTGTAGCTGTCTATAATCTATTTAAAAAAATCATGATCAAGATGGATAAAAAGTTGTAGCATTAAGGTATATCTATGATTAAGATATTTACATTTGATGAAAATATAAATGAAATGAAAATATAAACTCACTTAATTTTAACTGTATTCTAATAAAATTTATAAATTGCAAAAGGTAAAACTTTTTTTATAAATATGCTCAAAATGGATAACTGTATTGAGAGCTATTGTAAAATGTAAATTCTTATTAATATTCTAGTCTAACAACTTCATTATTTTGTGTGCATAAAATTTGTACTTTAGTCTGTCATCTAATCTTGCCGATTGTAGAAAAGAGGAATTTTTTAGCAATGATAAATTCATTGCTCAAATTAACCTCAATATTGTCAGTTTTAAACCTTTAAGTATTTTTAACTGTTGAGTTTTACTTTTTATTCTATATAAAAACACTTTGCAAGAGTAAGAAACACAACTTGTATGTTTTATTCAACGTCAAACATTTTTTTGAGATGTTACAATCTCTGAAAAGCACCTTAGAAACTCATGTAAAACATTAATATTATGGAATTGTTCCATTCATTTCATTATTTCTGCAGAAAACATGGGTTTGATAAATGATTACAACAAAGCAGATGTGAATAGGATGATTTCTTTCAATCAAACATCAAATAAAAGGAAAATGATAGAATCTGGAATTTTTTAAATTAATTTCTTGTAAATCTTTGTAAATCTGTACAGGTCATTTGATTAGACTATTATCACAATAGCATATTTAATTGAATTTCTTCTTGAGAAATGAATGATGTGTAGAGGTTATAAAATGGCTTGATGGGTGTATCAAAGAATGTAGACCACTTTTTCCAGACAAATAAACATTTTGCTTTATTAATTTCTCGAATTAATCATTGTAACCATTGCTTAATTTCCTTCTGATGGCATTTTAAGACATAAGAATCAATATAAAATCTCATTTAATTGTTTATATAAACTTATTTTTTTATTATCTGAAATGTACATATTTTTAATATGATTTGTTTGTTGATTTTATTTGATTTCATCAGTTCAACACCAGTTAAGACCAAAAATGATACAATATTATTTATCCAAAATATCCAGCAACCAAAGTTACAATTTTCATTAAAAACAGAACAAAAATTTATAAATGAGGGTTTAGTGTTAAAAGCAAGTGCTGTTTATAAAAGCAAAAACCTTTGGGTTTAACTGATGGGGAGGGAGTTGTGGGAAGTGGAGAATGCATGGCATATCTAACATGAAAAGCATCCCCACAAGCGATGACATGCTTTTCAGAGATGAAGCGATTTTGTATATATTATATAAATGTATTAAATGATCAAATTGTATATTCTATATGTGCGTTATATATTTATTTAATTTAAATAAATGCTGTGGCATTGATTATATATATATATATTTACAACATTGGCCTTGCACAGATAGTTATGCATGTTTTATCTGCATTACATGTACATATACGTAATCCTCATCTGCAAAAATCAATTTGTAAAAGCACAAGGTCTTGTCCGTCATGATTTCTTATTGACTAAAACCAAATTTAAATATTAATAAGTAAGCGTTTCTTTTCAAATTCCAGTTAAAAAGAAAATAATGATATCCCGTATCATTTCCATTCTTATAATTTCATATTGCATGAGAAGTGTAATAAAACATTACTTATTTTTTAAATGAATATCAGTTTTATGAATAGTTTTTTTCATTAAACAGTTTTTTATTGTTTACTTATTTTTTGAAACATTATTTGTAATATTTAAAAAAAAATTTTAATCTTTACCTGCATGATAGTGAAAGTATTTATTTTTTGCACTTTCTAAAAAATTAAAGATAAAAGGCACGCTTCAATTATAATTTATTTCTCTGAAAAATATACATCGCCCTTAAAATTGTGATAAAATAAATAGAAGAATTATCAAGAACATTATTAGGCAAAAGTGCATGGCAAGAAAACATGGCAAATTAAATTATTTAGAAAAATTAAAAAAAAAAAAGATTAAATAATTTTGTGGGTGAAATAGAATTTTGTCAGACATAGAAATAAAAGTGAAACTTCTGTGTTTTAATTAATTTGTCCATTACACAGGAGAGTGTCTGTGATGAGGGGTCAAGTCCTTTCACCGCAAGGTTTGGGAATAATAGGGATAAGAGTATCGGTAGACAGAGATTCTCGGTTTGGATTTACTCTTACAAGGGCAGGAGGATGGTGAGTCGAATGAACAAAGACGGGAATGAAAGTTACAGGGACAATTCTAACTGAATAATTCTAGGTTTGATGTACTTGTAAATGGAGGAGGTGCTGTAACACTCCAGTTCCAGCGAAGCCCCTTCCGACCGATGACAAGAACTGTCTTTGTACCCTGGAATCAAATAGTTGTTCTTGCACCGATCACAATGCAGCTGTCAGATGACACAGACATGTATCGTGAAAATGCACAAAACTCTGCTTTGGCGCCAGGTATCATATTTTTTTCATTTATAGGTAATTAGAAAAAAATAAATTTCATATATTTTCTGTATTTGTTTTAAGGATTTGGAAGCCCAGTGCATAGCACACCTTGCATCGACCATGATGAAACTTTACTAATGCCAGTAATACTATCTACATGGATGCCAGAGAAAGTTGGTGGCAAACCGGGCAAGAGTCTGATATTTGCTGAAACCCAGGTAAGCCTGGACCTACATTTTATTTCAAGTCTTTTCAGATATCACTTAAGACTAATACTATATTATATCACCTAAGACTAATAATATATTTTATTATGGACGTTGTATTTGACCATGGTTTATAAAAATTCTACTCTTACTGATATGTTTGTAACATCAACAATATTTTCCAAATTCTAAAATCATTAAAGGAAAAACCCTGTAACTTTCAGTACATTCTTATTTTCTCCATTTTAGATGCTTCAAGAGAGCATAAGAATCCCTGGCTCGAGGCTACATCTCATGTATAGGACAAGCCTGGCTCCTGGCTACCTAAGTAAAGTGGTGATGAGACTGACAAGGTCTGTGATTCCCAAGTCTTTGGTCAAAGTACATGTGATGGTGGAAATCGAAGGCTCGGTGCACACCAAGGTTTTTGAAGCTGACCCCAACCTTACACACACATTTGCATGGAACAAGCGTAACGTCTATAAACAAAAGGTTTATGGAGTTGCCCAAGCCAAAATATCTGTAGGCTACCAGCATCTGACTTGCCCAGGAATTGTTTGGGAGACGCAGACTGCCACTCTGCAAGGTTTTGATGTCGACATATCTGACGTAGGAGGCTGGAGCCTTGACATCCACCACCATTATAACTTCCACGAAGGTATTAAAAATGCTATATATTAGTTTCAATTACGTTTCTATTTGTTGTTTTTTTTAGGAATTTTGCAAAAAGGTGATGGGTCTACAGTCCATCTGAAACAACTGGCCAGAAGTGTTAAAGTCGTGATGGGAACAGGCCTTCAGAGGCCTCTTCAATGCAAAGACTGTGATGGCGTAGCTAGAGATGCAAGACTTCTTACTCCTGTTGCTTTAACCTCAGGGCCTGACGGATCAATTTATGTTGGAGATTTTAATTTAGTGAGACGGCTTACACCAGATGGCAATGTTTATACCGTCCTTCAACTTAGGTATTTAAAACATTTTTCACACCTCTCACATGCATTTAAACATAAATTACGTTTTTACAGTGCCACAAAAGTATCATATCAGTATTATCTTGTACTCTCTCCGGCTGATGGAAGGCTGTATGTGTCTGATCCTGAGAGACATCAGATCCTTCGAGTAGTCTCTTTGGAATCAGTGCCAGAGCCTTCAATAAACTGGGAGGTAATTTATAAACTTGTATTTCACCCCTTTACTATTTCTGACAACGTTGTCGGGTTTTGAAGGTTGCTGTGGGTTCTGGAGACAGGTGCATTCCTGGTGATGAAACAAGCTGTGGGGATGAAGGTCCTGCTCTGCAAGCTAAATTGGCACATCCCAAAGGTGATTTGAATCAATTTATTAAACAAAATACGTTAATTGAATGGAAGTATATTAACAATTTTTTCCAGGTTTGGCTATTGCTGCGGACAAGACAATGTATATTGCAGATGGAACTAACATCCGATCTGTAGATCCCAATGGAATAATCCACACACTCATAGGGCATCACAAACATCATAACATCTGGCAACCAATACCTTGCAAAGGTGCCATTCCTGCATCACAGGTATTAACGGAATATTTTAAAATTGGAAAAAACAGATTTATACAATGATTGTTTCTAGGCACAACTACAATGGCCAACTGGTCTTGCTCTAAGTGCATTGGATGGCTCGTTGCATTTCATTGATGACAGACTAGTTCTTAAGTTAACATCAGACCTCAAAGTGAGACTTGTCGCTGGAACACCTCTCCATTGTCATTCTAACCCTGATCATAAAAATTCTGATGAGTCCCAGGTAAATTTAAATCTTTACTTAAATAAAGCCAAATATAAAAGCAAAGATTAAATTATGAATTGCCAATACAGCAGAACACTGAAGAAGGAACTCTAGCGACTGCGACAGCTCTTGGTCCCGTGTTTGCCCTCGCTTTCAGCCCAGGTGGCCTTCTTTATATTGCCGATACCGATTCACAAAAAGTTAATGCAATCAGGGTTGTTGATCCATCAGGAAAGATGGCCTATTTTGCTGGAAGAGTATCACAGAGTAATGATAAACCGTAAGTTGGAATATGAATTCCTCGCCCATTTGATTTTACAACAATATAATTTCCAGATTGTGTGATTGTTCGAGCAACACCACGACACTGTGCCCATGCTTCACTGAGACTAGTAATTCAAAGGAAACCCTTTTGTCAACAACCGCAAGGTTCACCTCGATATCAGCTATTGCAGTCAGCCCAGATGGAATAGTCAATGTCGCTGACCAAGGCAACCTCCACATCCTTGCCCTAGAGCATTATCTTCCAACACAAGATGAAAACGGGGAGTTTAGGATACCATACCCTGCCACAGAGGAGATATACATATTCAATAGATATGGCCAGCATATCTCAACCAGGGATATAACTACTGGCAAGGCCAAGTACACCTTCTTGTACAGCAAAAACACAAGTTTCGGAAAATTATCTACGGTTACTGATAGCTCTGGAAATAAAATATTGTTTCTAAGGGACTACAGCAATGTTGTAAGAACCTTTTTTATTTTCTAATAACTTCATTACATTGTCTGTATAATTTAAAATTAATTTTTTGCAATGTAATTACCTCTATTAAAATTAATTAAACTCTTGGCATGGTATAACTGACACATACTTCATTTGTTCATTTGTATTCAAAATAGCAAAAATGTGTTTTTTTAAATGACGCTTAATTTTCTCTTTTAATATGAACAGTAAATAAAATCCTACAAACCTCTTATAAACAAAATTAAAATTTATAGCTTAAAACTAAATAGCTTTTTTATTTTAGGTAAGTGCAATTGAAAATAGTCAGGATCATAAATCTGAGCTTAATATATCAGGAGTGGGTTTCTTGACTAAATTTGTTGAGAAAGGAAGATCGGAAATAGTTTTAGATTATGACCCAGCATCTGGTTTATTGACGAGCAGAGCTGATTCTTCAGCCTCGGTAAATTATAATTTAATAGAAAAACCGTAAATAGAAAGTACGCTAACATACGGTTGATTCTTCATAGGGTGGATCCACATTTTTATATCATTACGATTCTCTTGGAAGAATCACAAGTGGTGTGTTACCGACTGGAGAAACTGTCGCCTTGACCTCTCAGCTGAGCGAAAAGGATGAACTGGAAGTGTATGTCACGCTTCCAGTCCACCCGAACAATCTTGCTTTGCACAAAGTTGGAATCAGCATGCATGATAATACAATCACTGTTCGAGATGGTACTACTCGCAAACCACATCACAAACAACCAGAGCTCGCCTAACTTAACTTGTTAACTAATATTTTCAGGGATGTCTGTAGTTTCTGAAGCAGGTATGCTGAGAAACCGTACAGTTATTGTAACTGGAAGCGCCCAAGGCCGGGTAGAGTTGAGGCCAGGAGCGAGACATCCACTCTTGGAGCTTGCAATGCCAGTGCAAGCTGAAATGTGGCCCATGTGGAGCAGGCAGATGGCGATAAAGCACCATATCATTAACCAAATGGCAACCACTTACACTCTTATCGGGGATGCTGCTGCTAACCAGCACACAGTTCATAGCCATTTTTGGGTATTGATTTTTGTCTTATTCCTATTTATTTAGGATTTCCTTTGGAAATGTTACATTCATTTAAACAAAAATTCTATATTGAGCCATTTAACTTTTAGGTCAACAACACTAAAATTTTGGGAATTGAGTATGACCAGGGCAGAGGAAAGAGGACAATTTACGACAAAGACCAAAATCCTATTCTATCAGTTACTTACAATAGTCAAGGTCTTCCCACTTCTTGGAAACCAGCTAATTCCAAAACTCTGAATATAACCTATGACAGGTTTGTACACTATATTAAGTGAAAAATGAAAATCAGTTAATAATTTTATTTGTGCCATTTAGGTTTAATCGAGTTGAAAGTTGGAAATGGGGAGTACAGACTGAATCTTACAGCTATGACAGACATGGTTTACTTTCAGAAATCAAAACTAAACAAGACGGTGTTATTCACTACACATACAATAATCTAAACCTTGTAAATATTTCTCTATTAAACTTTTATTTATAGGTTAGCATTTTAGTTATATGCCTTTTTTTCCTTTAATAGGTATCTCAAATAACATTAGGAAGTGGGAGAAAAGTACAGCTTGTTTATGATGACCATGCTGGTTTGCGGCATGTGGTTTTAGCATCAGGAGCAAAGCATTCTGTCTCCTGCCAGCCTTCTTTGGGTTTTGTGAGGTTCACCTACACCCCACCCGGTTCTACAAAAGCATACTTGCTGCATTACACTCATGCCGGCAAGCTACTTCAGATTGTCTTCCCAGGTGATGGAGCGAGGGTTTTGTACAGGTATCATCCATCTGGCCAGTTGGCTGAAGTCGTCCATGGAGATGGTATCACTCAGCTAAAACACTGGGCCGATTCCGGGTACCCAAGCCAGGCGACCCATTTCGAAAAAGATTTTGAATATAGATGGGATTACCAGTACTCTGGAGGGTTGCTAACAGAAGAAAGGTAGAAATATTTATTTGAATTTTTTTTAAACTCTACTAATGCAATTATTTGATTTTAGATTGGATTATGGCCCAAAAACAGGATTGAGCAATGCTAAATTTATGTACCAGTATGATGACAACTTCAGATTGATTCTGTTGCAAGGAAGGATTGGAGGGCAGACCTTACCTGAACACATTGTTCAGTACAACCCAAAGACTGGTGCTAAGAGCCTGATGGGACTATTCGCCGTATCATGGCCTTCTCCAAATGAAACATCCCTTACAGATAGCACAGCGGTTTTCAACAGAATCACCAATAAACAGTTTCAGGTCACACAAGTTGCTGTTACAATACATAGGATGGAAGTGTTTAGAATGGAATACATTTACGATTCCAGAAAGTATGCACAGCTTTTATATTTATCCTTTGATAAATTGATACTTATAAATTTGTCATTTCAATTATTTCAGTCGAATAAGCCAAACAAGAACATCAACTAGAAATGTAGGTGTCAACACTTACACAAATGTTAAAAATCTAACTTGGGATTCTGACGGTCAGCTTGTTGCTGTCGAGGCTCAGGAGCCTTGGGGATTTAAATACGATGAAAATGGGAACATGCTCTCACTTACTTATCGGTAAATAGTATAAATAAAACTAAAATAAAAATATGCTCATATATAAAATTTCAGTGGTAACACGATACCTATGGAGTATAATGCGATGGACCGGATTGTTAAGTTCGGCGAAGGCCAGTACAAATATGACAATAGGGGACTTGTTGTGCAAAATGCAAGAGAAGAGAAGTTTCATTATAATGCAAAAGGTCTTCTAGTGAGAGCTACCAAACGAGGAAGATTTGATGTCAGATACTACTACGATCATCTTGACAGACTGGCTACTAGAAAAGACAACTACGGAAACGTGACTCAATTTTTCTATACTAACCACAAATGGCCAGATGAGGTACTTCCTGCATATTTACAAATTCAAGAGCATGTCTGATTACATTGGATTTTTACAGGTCACCCACATATACAGCCCAAGAGACGGCAAATTAATGTCGCTGACTTACGATGACCGTGGGCATCTGATTTATGCTCAAGTCTACCGACATAAGTACTACGTCGCTACAGACCAATGTGGCACTCCAATAATGATTTTCAATCAATATGGAGAAGGCATTAGAGAAATTATGCGATCACCTTATGGTCACATAGTCTATGATTCCAATCCATATCTTTATTTACCTGTTGACTTCTGCGGTGGACTGTTAGATCAGGTACATTAAAAATGTCTTACTGTCTTTACAAACAAATAATTATTATTATTCTTTAGGTCACATCCCTGGTCCACATGCCTGGGGGCAAAGTCTATGACCCGTTGATCGGTCAATGGATGTCGCCAATGTGGCAAGAAGTAGTACAAAGGTTGTCCAATCCCACAAAACTCCATCTTTACAGATTCAATGGCAATGATCCTGTAAATGTTCATCAGACTCCACATAAACTTGGTGGTAAGATAATTTTATTTTACTAAAATAGTGTTTAACTTCATTCAGAAGTGCAAGTCATATTTAGCTTACTGTGATTTTGTAATTAGTTTGTTATAAGATTGTATATAAATGTTGTGTGATTTCAGATGAAAAGAGCTGGCTGACCCGACTAGGTTATGACTTATCCAGTTTAGCACCACAGCTTAATGAAAACTTTATTAAACTGTCAGGCCTTCATGACACAGATTTCAGCCCACCTTTCACGGTTTCCTCAGGATTTTTGTCACACTTATCAGAAAAGTTCATGAAAGACAAACTGTCTTCACTACCCCAGTCACAAATCAAAATAAACCCAATAACAACTGAAGAAGAACCAATAATCGAGGATTTCAACCCGATGAGGTCTGCATTTGAGTTCAGCAGACCGCCTAAGGGTGGTATCAGGGTGCAGCCGGGAGCTGAAGCGGAACCGCCTTTTGGCCATGGCATACTCGTCTCGAGGACACACGAAGGAAGGGCCATTATACACAGTGTCCCGACAGCTAATTCCATCTACAGGGATGTCCTCACTTCAGTGTTCAACAACACATTCATGCTGCCATTCACAATGGTGCTTCACGGCACCCTCCAAGATGCTTTCTTCTTTGTGAAAGAAAATGCCTGGAGGGCAAGTGAAGATCGAGGCCAACTCAAACGATTTGGTAGCCAATTCAACACCACATTCCATGAAAAGGAAGGCGAGACTGGTTCTGGAAAGGTTAGTTATTATTTCTTAAAGAGTTATGTTTATTGCATTAAAAACCTTAAATATAGGTAAATATTAAATATTAATAAATTTTATGGCATTGAAATCATAATTAACTTCTTGAATTTATAGAATTAAAAGCTTCATTAAAACATGGCTTTGCTCATGCTCGATGAACCAAAAATTCCATGTCAGATTGGGGTCCATGCTCTCCAGGGACTTTGTTCAAAAGAATGAAGTCCCTCACGGTTCAGTGATAAGCATTACACTTTTCTCAATTGCAGTGAAAGATATCAGTCATCGATAAATGTGGCTGGCTGGAAGAGCCGACGAAATTGGATTCACCTTCTCTACATCAAAAACTGTATGCATTCACTTTTGCAGGCTGAGGAGGGCCCACAGCCTTCCGCAGCTCTGTCTGAGGGGTACTGCAATAAGGTACGTAGAGTTGGTGAGGTTCCTCGGTCTCACGTTTGATCAAAAGCTTAGATAGCAGCCTCACATTGTCACCATCGATGTGAAGGGAAGGAAAGTTATTAAATATTATTAAAGTTCATCAGTCACTTCAGATGGGGAGCAGATAGGGAGACCCTACTGAAAATATATGATTTCTTGCTGTGCTCAACCTTGTTGAAGCCTTAGGGAGGGGGGAGACACTTGGAACGGTACTCAGGCTGGGCAACCAGCTGACCCCACCGTCAGTCCTCCCGGCTGTACTCGTCCAGGAAGATCCTGCCGTGTTAACCAAGTCATCTACTCCTCCGTACCTATATCAAGATAAGTTCTTGGAGCATATGTCTAGGTACATTAATTTTCAGCTCATCTTTACAGGCTGATGAAGGTATGGCATGTGCCATGTTTTGCGAGGGTGCATCCACTTCGTGGTTGCTAGTGTTTACATGACAGAACTGTATGCAATGCAGAAGTTTTGGGTGATTAGAGGCGATGGTGGTTCTGCCTACCTAGTCTGCACTGATTCCCTTAGTGTGGTTACTGCTGTCCATGTCAGGTATTCCATAAAATCATTATGTTGGAAAGGTACCACGGAGCGTCTCAGCAAACTGGTGGTTGTTACCCAGACACATAGGACTGGAGGGTAATGAAAGGGCAGACAAGGAGGATAAGGCCAGGACGTTCCAACCTTTGGACTTAACCAACGTGGTCATTTGATGCAATAGAAAACACGATTAAAAGAAAGTGGCAGTGTCAATGGGCAGGATTGACAGAGAAGCTATCGCAATAGGTGGCCCTCGGAGGTTCTGACTTTTAGAAGAAGGGTCATCCTTACCTGATAGAAGAGGCCATACGAGGTTGACACATGGACATCTACTTTTGGGCCAAAGCCCGCGTTTGTGTTTGGGTCTGCAGAAAAGGACGCTCGATGTGTCCCACTTAATTGAAGAGTGCAATTCCTTGCCTCTATACAGAGAGCGCACAGGAATGCCACCTGATTTGAGAATTGTGTTTGGGCACAGCAGCGAGTATTTGAAACTTTGAGTCTCCTGTTGGAGGAAACAGGGTTGTTCTATTGTATATAGTAAGAATAGTGGTGTGTAGCTGCTAGCTTGTGTTGGGATTGAATGGATTTATTAGCTTGATGTCGAGGGTCGATGACGGAATATCAAGTACCCCATAGATCTTGAATTAGGTTAGTTGTGTAAAGGGGGATAGAGGAATATCAAGTACTCCACCACCCTAATTGAATGCGTTGGGTGCTGATTGATCTAGCTGTTGACAGCAGCAAACAGGCTCAACTCGGCACATATTTGTATGTATGTGCATACGTGTTTGGATTTGAGCCTATATAAATCCAACCCATTTCTAATATTTCAATTTTTTTAAGTTTTACATGGTAATTTCAACAACAATCTATTTTCAGGTGCTTGATGTAAGAATACACCGTCCAAATGCGATTATTAACCTGCGCTATGGAACAACCGTTGAGAGAGAGAAAGAAAGGCTGCTGCACCATGCAAAATCTGCGGGTATGAGAAAGCTCTGGCATAGAGAGCGTGACTGCCTGCGCAACGGCCTGCCAGGCTCAAGGGATTGGAGTCAGCAGGAAGCGGAAGAGCTTCTCAAATCCGGCTATGTCGCTGCTTTTGACGGCGAGCACATAAGGGACGTTCATACCTATCCTGAGCTCGCCGAAGACCCATTTAACATTAGGTTTGTTAAGAAGAGCCGATAGTAAGTCGGAGAACTGAGTCCCCAAACCCCACCGCCCTACATCAAAAGAAAAAACCAAAAGGAGAAAATGTTTTCAAAAAGATAACAGGCTACACTGTATCAAAAGGCATGAGAGGCCGTTTTCATAGTTTTCGGACCACTTGATGACGGATTATGCCAATTTTAATATATGTGTAGCATTATAGTTGGTTAAACTGTATAATTTGGGGTGTCAAGAAATTAGTTTTTTATTCATTGATCTGTTGTTTATGGTCCAATTGTTATCGTAGGATTTAAAGACCAACTCAAAGTGAGTTTGTTTTTTATCTATATTGAAAATAAAGAACGTATTTTGTAAAATATAGAGTACATTTAGATAGAGACTAGAGACCCTCGTGTTCAAAACATTTGGCAAGTGTATACTCAGGTATATAAAAGTGCTGTTGTAATTTTGGACTATTCAGGAGTAGCTTATCAGATAAACGATAAACTGAGTCAACAAGTGCCTCAAACGTTTAGAACACAGTCAAGCATATTAAACATTCCATGAATAAATTTTAAATCAAAATAAACGAGAAACATATAATCCATGTAATGTATAATACTTGATAAAGGCAGTATTAATAAAAAGTGAGATTTTTAACAATTGTAAATAGTTTATTCTAAAATTGGAATCAGACTACTTTGAGTTGGTCGTTCACAAATTGTTAATATTCACTTTAATTTATTTTGTAATTATTAAATGTTAAGTGTTCCTTGCATTTGAATTTTCATTTTGTGTAAATGAGCATTTCGATAAAGAGCATGTCTGGAACCCGAATTATATATGTTAAAAAAACTATAATAATTTATATTGAGCACAGATTTAAAATTTTGTACTAATGACTTTTTAGAGCTTATGTACATAATATATATTTATATTAAAAGAGACTATTATTATAAGATAATGTATAGTTGATCCAGAAATTATTTAAGACACCTGAAGGCGTTTTTCCAGTTGATATATCTTTTTAGATTAAAACCAAAAATGATTAGTGACTAATATTCGAAAAACACCCCCAGACGTCAAGACAACTGATTATTGGATAAGTATATTGTTGGCCTACATGTGTACATGTGGTACGAACCATAAATGGCCTCTTTCAATTAATTTGGAAAAAGTATATATGGCATATATAACTGTAAAAGAGAGAATTTGCATAACAGGTTTTGTTTATTCGGTGCTATTTTATAATACATCCAGTGGGGAGAAAAATACATATTAAAAAGTTTGAATCAATAATAAGTGTGAGCACTGGAAAGAAATTTTTTTTTTGTAAATTTTTATCAGAATTAGGATGTTAATTAGCTTTAATGAGCCAGTCTTGCTGACCTCCAAAGACAATATTTGTCTTTGTTAAACCAACAATTTTGAAATCATTTGTTCCCCAATGTTGAAACCAATTTTATAAAAATTTCTGAAGTCCGAATGTATTGCAATGAACAGATTTTCTTCCAACATGGCATGCATATTTATGACAGAATGATTTAAATTAAGAGAAACGAAAAAATCCCATTGTTCTGACTAAACCTTGTATTATTTTAATATAAGAAAAATACGTTTATAAAATTTAATGAGACACTAACTCTTATGTGTTCATTTTTTTTAATCTGTAAATGTTTTAACATTTCTATTTTAAATGGAAAAGAAATAATTTAACAGTTTAAGGAAATAATTAAATAAAATAAAAAGGCGTATGGTTTAATTGTAGAGACGTCAGTCAGACTGTCTCGAGCAAGATACAAAAGTTCACTGTTCCAAATGATGCTAATAAAATAGTATTTGTTTAAATAGTTGCATGTAGTTTACATATGCAGTAATATGCACCTGTTTCTGTGTTTTATGGATATCGAGCTGTTTCTAACATTTCTAACTTCAGTGTTGGACCACTACTTTTGCTCTTTTTCTCCTTCATTGATTATATAAACAAAAAGTATATATATATATTCAGTGTTTGACCTGGCATTGTAATTGTTATATGTTATAGAAATGTTAAAAATGGCAGTTAGTTAGTCATATAGCTTTGTGACATTTTGGAGCTTTACTCGTGTACAATTTTTGTCGGTGTATTTTATTCTTCTAGTTGTACACAGTATGAGCTACCAGTTGATGTGCATGATTATGTTATTTCCCCCAAAACTGTACTAGGGATAGTGAAAACATAAAAATAGTAATGGAAAATGTTCTCCTCTATGTGTATATGTGTATAAACTATGGAACTCTTTTACCCGAGAACAAAGTGATTTCTGTTAGTATTTTTATAATGTTGGCAACGTATTCGTCCAAAGTTAGGTGAATGGAGTGAACTTACTTGTGTTGAAATTTAATCAGTTCATGTAATGTAAACATAAAAAGAGAGTTTGTTGTGTTCTAAGAGGCTCATGTTGACATAAATTCCTATATATGCCAAAACCTCCTTTTTTTAGAAATAAAATAAAAGACTCTTGATTTGTAAGCGAATGAAATTCAATGCCAAAAAAAGGTGATTCTTAATTTTTATAAATGCTACCTGCCGAAACATGTTTGATGTTAATAAAATTTAATATCCAAGTAATTTACTAATATAATGAGTGGAAAGCACAATTTTTCATGTTTTTGAAGAAAAAAGTGAGAAAAAACATTAAAAAAATGAAATTGGAAACACAATTGAATATTTATGAAGAAATTATTTTTCATCAAGAAAGACTGTTCAGTAGTTAACTTTTAAGTTTGTTAATAGATTATAATTTTAATTATTAAGTGTGATATTAACGCAGGTGATTCCACTATAATACTTATTGACAACACTTCCTAAAATATAATTGAATGTTATTTTCATAAAAGAAAGGAACAGGAAACTAGTTGTATTAATATTATTTAGAGGAACCCTGCATGTTTAGAAACATAATATATGTTTAATGTCTGTTATGATTTATTACGATCATTAATGTTTTATGACTTTTTTTATATATGTATAATAAACAAACCACATATATTATTTTTGTCTTTGTATATATCCGTGTCAATAAATAAATGTAAAAATTCACTGCTTTAACATTAGGGGATAGAAGTTACCTAAACAATGGAAAAAATAATAAAATAAATAAATTAACAAAAATGATTTGGCTTTTGACGACTTACTCATGCGTATATATTTAATTTTATTTTTCTTATCGATTAGTTTGTGATTTATATTTTTCATGTTACCTATGTACAGAATATATTTTATAAACAATTTCGAGTGAGTGTATAAAATAGTCCTTAAATGTATGAGAAGATGTAATAATTATTTGTTTACTGTACGAATTGAAAATATCATAAAATTATCAAAACTACTGTATTTTTATATTATACTTCCCTTTTTGCAATTGCAGCCATTGTATTACCTTGAATATGGCTATAAGCTCCAATTATTTGTTATAAATAAATTATCTGTGTTCATTTTTACATCATTAAAGGGTTTTTAGATTTTGCAATTCTTACTAATTGCAAACACTCATTCAGATAATTCTAGTTTCTTCCTTGTTGTTGCAGATGTCCAAAGGTTTGCTAGCACCTACATGTCATAGCGGCCCTAAACGCAAAGTTTACGCACGCTGGTTCATTATTAGTTCACCATTAAGTTATTACAAATGTCAGCAACCCATGTACCTGGTGGCATGAAGCCTGGTAATCTGAGGAAACATAAGAAGAGGGAATTGTATTGGTTCAAATCTGTTCATTGAGTTTTTAGAAATATCAACAAGCTCTGTGTCAAAACATTGTCTGGTAATCTGAGGACAAAAATGTAATAAAATAACGGGATGAATTTTTAGAGGTCAAATTGTCTATTCCTATGATGGGCAAAACATTTAGACAACCAAATTTAAGTGTAGGTAAGTTTTAGGCATGCCAATTTACCAAGTGGTGTACATTCATCACACATTGAGAAAAATTGGATAAACAGACGTGACTGAAATGAGTTTAAAATCTGAGATACCCCAAACACACAAACTAAATATGTCTTCATGGCTTAGGCTGACATTTACCGGCTTCTATAAAAATATACGCCTTTTCTCAGTTGGAAATAGAATTATTTCATTTTCGCTTCATATCTGCTAATGGTCCTGACCATACATGTGATAAAATGGATTTATGAGGGTTTATAAATTAATGAATTTACAGAAATTATAGGTAATTGAATTCCAAGATCAAAGAATACCGACATTCCCATGCCATTTTACAGTATTTCTCTAGCTTTGTCCAAACATTTCTATTTAAGTATTGAATGTATCCATTAATAGTTGTTAATCTTTGTTTAGTACGTTGTATGGAATTCTTTGAAAATGGGGCACACAGCCACAAAATGATAGACATCTTGTTCCTCCTCTTCCCTTTACAAGCAATAGAAATTATTAAAAAAGGGGGTGAGTATGTAAGTTAATCTTATTAAAAAGTTAGTTCCTACTCACAGTTTGTTGTTTTCCACTACTATCCGCATTTTAAGCTTAAAGCCATCATCAGGTTAAAAGAGTTACAAGCTTTAATGTCGCTCAATTTTGAATGTGCGAAAAATGAGAATTACAACTACATATTATCTAAAAAATACTCTGGGAAAATTATTTCAAATTAGTGATTAATTTGTATGTCTTTCCATTAATTAATAATAAAATTGGTAACAAAAATTGACTTAATTACTTTTTTAGTATGTATATAATAATATTTGACATACAAATTAATCTAATTTATTTATTTATTTATTTTTGGTTAATTTATTAGTCTATTATTAATTTAATTTTAATTGTATTGATTAATTAATGAAAAGACAAACAAATTAATCACTAATGTAATTAGTTGGCATTTCAACTATGAGGTCGTATTAACCCTTGGGGTTGGACCCTTTGAAAAAAAGTCCATTTGTAAATATGTGGGGTTCAAATGCAGGGGCCCTGGATTCAAACCCTGGACCTTTACCTTACAGTGATGAGCACCATGTCAACACCTAAGCCATTGCGATCACCGATGCCCCCAAAATTATTTTTTTTACAGTTTTTATTATGATAATTTTTAGTTGTGTTGTAATTAAAAACCAGCTTCCCATTGGAATGTCGCGTTGGGGGATCAGCAGAATATTTCGTGTCGAGACGTGCTTGTAACTCCTTCAACCTGATGAGCTCTAAGCATGAAATCCGGATAGTGGAACACAACAAACTGTGAGTAGAAACTATCTTTTTAAGGATATTATAGCAAGCAGTGTTTGATGTGTTAATTTAAAAAAAAATTAAAATAAATAGCTCTCCTCTAACTTTAGATAGTCAACTTATTGCATTAGAGTCTAAATTACACGAAGTGTTGATTTAAGGACAGTTTTGAAGATAATGTAATTCCTAGATATTTATACATGTCTTATCAATGTTTTTTCCTTTTTGTAAAATCATGTCTCGAAAACTCTAGATCAAGATATGGTCTTAAAGAAAAAGAAAATTCAGTTCTTACTGCCAAGCTATTTTAAGGTCATCATCAGGGCAAAACAATCTTAATCTGTCTACAGATTGAGGTATTTAAGTTTTTGACAGGATATTTCAAATTTCCTTGAAGACCGTCTCAGTTCTAACATTGACAAAGGCTGTTTTCGTTACAATAAACGTTACAGTATTTATTTAACAAGTAACATATTAAAATTGTTTTTCCCTGATGATTACCTTAAAATAGGTCGAACGCTTGGCAGTAATAACTGAATTTGATGTTTCTACAAGACCATACCTTGATCCTGTGTTCGTGAGTGAAAAAGTGGTCGATACTTCTAATACTGAAAACAGAAATAATATAACAAACGCTATGGCCATTTTAAGTCATATTATAAAGCTTACTGTAATATCTTAATCAGGTGAGTTTATTTTTGGCATAAATATATTTGTTGTTCATTTCATTATGCAATGAAGTTTATTTTTAAACAGTAAACTGGTCCCTGTCTTAACATAAGTTAGAATTAGTTGTTAAAATATGTTAAAAATAGTTAAAAGGAAAGTCAAACATTAGTTGGAAATAAGGCTGTAAATCTGAAGGATCGCCTATCCAGTGGTGAGCAAAGAATCTTTTCCCACAAACCTGGAAGTCATAGGAACGCATTACATGAACATCTTTTCACTAAATAGCAAAACTTGGGCAGTTATTTAGTGTGGGAAGTTTGTCGCACACATCCAGCAGTGGGACACTAGAAATCTGGGGTCATATCAGCCAAGTGGGTATTGTACATTCTGGCCAGATGTCCATCGGCATGAGATCAGGAGGTTGTCCCGAGAATTAGGAGTTATTGCACGGCCAACGCTTGCAAGATGGAAGGTGACCCATCTGGCCTAACAGATTTTCCTTTTCCTTTTCTCTCTAACCTTGGTCGGAAACCAGTATAAAAGGGGATAGTCAGCTAACTTGAGGCTCAGTGCGGACAAGTCGATCCAAGAACCCAGTCAACCCGAGAACTCAGTCCAGAGCAGTTAGGCAGCCACACTCAGCCAGCAAGAGCTAGCAAGGATCTAGTTATTACGACATATCGAATAGAGTCGACTGTCGAGGATTCAGGAAGCTGCAGGAGAAGATACTGAAAGTCGCTTAAGGATGTGGAAACTCACTTGCCTTCGTTGTTTGACTTTATATTAATTTCATACATACAAGACAGGCCAATGTAACAATAAATGATATGAATATATCTCTAGTTTCTCCTCCTACCTTACCCCACACAAAAAGAAGTTAACTAGTCCACCACTCGTCTACTATACTGGTGTTCTTCATCATATCTATATTTTCTAAAACTGTTACATTTTTTCATAATTTATTATTGGTGTCGTTTTAGTTTTTAAGATTTTTTTATTTTATTTGTGCATATTTTACATTTTGTTACAACAGCAATATCTTGTACTGTATATGCAAAGGGTTAAATATCCCATGTTCATATAAATAAATAACAATCTAATACTATTTAACGAGATTTGTAAATGAAATGTATTTAAGATCTTTTAACATATTTTATCATTTCGGTCATTTTTCTTTTAAGACATTTATCTTCATGACGGCAATAACAAAATTTCTTAAATAGTAATTCGGCAAGTCACGACAGGCAGAGATGAACATATGACGGTAGTTAAGCCTTTAGCTATTATCGTTTTAAGATTCGTGAGTAAAGGCGATTAGGGTGAATACCAGGGTGAGTTCCAAGTATTAACGATGCCATTAAATTGTTTTTAAACAAAATATAGATATGCCGGGCGGATACCAACTGTCATGAGATGTCAACCCAAACTTTCCTTTTTTTATTAACCCTTAAAAACTGTTTGTTTTAAACTGATTTGTAACGAAAAGACGGGAAATGTAAAACTAGTCCATCGAGAACTCGATACGACTTTTCGGGGTATCTGCCATGGGTTGATTAGGGTGTCATTTGACAACTCCCTTGCATGTTAGCCAGAAATAGAAATCTATCGGGAACAAGGAACGATTCCTATCTGTTAGCCCAGAAATGGATAACGCCTTAAATAAGGTCGTATTGAATTTCTGCCGGTAGCAACGGGAGATGTTTTACGGTCGCGAGTCGTCGCGGACCCCTCGTGCCGGCGCGCCGCCCGGTGGCATCATTCCTGTTTTTTCATCGCTTCCAGTCTTCCACAAGCACGGAACAAGGCTGGTCAAAAATCTCAGAACACTCTGCTGTTTTAAGCAGACAGGATGGAAGGGATTAAAGAAGGCAGCATCCATTGCACAGCGGAAAAATTGACGTCGGAATTAAAAGAAATGTCCGTTTATAAAGGATATTATGAAGAAGTGCAGGTAAGTTTTCCAACACAATATTGGTTTTTTCTTCAAATTGTGTTCTATTGGAAAATTTGTAGATATTTATACAATTTTATGAAATATTGATCAAACATCGACTCATAAGACACATTTAAATTACAAACTAAATTTTACGTACTTGTTCATTCCATTTACCCATGTTGTGAAAATTTTAATGACACATGACTTGGAAACTCGTAAAATAATTCTTTCTTTTAATTAATTTTAAATTAATGTAATTTTAAAAAAATGGAAAAATTACCTCGATATCTTTTACTAAATATTAAATAGTTTTATTTAATTTATGAATAATATTTTTAATTAGAATAGATTTTTTGTTCATTTAGGAGAGAGCTAAACGTAATGTAATTTCTATAATGAAAATCAAGATGACTGCCCATAGTTGTACTTTTGTAAGACATTTATTTGGTTTTTTCGTATTATGGCTCCTACATTTTTCTTTGTTTTATGATTGATCTTCTTTGACATTTGTAAAAAACGGAACTGATACATACTGTAATATACACCATAAATGTACATCAATCGTGAATTCTTCTTGGGGTCAGGTGATGAACCAGTAGTTTGTTCATTGGTTTGTTTATCCTTGTTATTGGTTTTTTGTCTATCAGACAAGTTTCGACATACATCAAATGGCCAGATTACCCAATTTTGGAACCTGATAACCACCATTAATAAAAAAAAAAAAAAAATACGCCTGATCAATTAATTTATACATTAGAAAGACGATTTAAATCAAATATACATTTCTTTCTCTGTAATTCATCTCTCACTCACTCTCTCTCTCTCTCTTTCCCTCATCCTCCCCCTCTCACCCTCCCTCACTCCCTCTATCATGTTTCTCTCTCTTTCTCTTTCTATCTTTCTTTCTTACATTGTTTCTCTCACTTTCTCTATTTCTCGTACTCTCTCTTCTCTGTATATATCTATCTTTATCTCTTTATCTATCTAGAGAGACAATTACTTCTACTGTACAATTATCGTTTGCAAAAAAATTTTAAAAAGAGAATAAAAATGATTCAATACTATATGCTTCTTTATTTATTGTAAAAATTGGTATACTATTGACTGACTTATTAGTAATTTATATTGATGGTTTAAAAGTAGCTGACAAATCAAAAAAGGAATATTTTGTGAAGGGAACCAATAAAATAAATCGATGACCAGATGTTCTTAAATTTTGAATTTATAAAAAAAAGTGATCATTAAAAATTCCAGTTCATCCACTGAGATGTAAATCAGTTTCTGAAACATTTGAAGCACTTAAAATTTTACTCATAAATTCCTTCGAGAGAAAGGGAGGTCAAAACAAAAAACTTAAAATGTATTAACATCTAGACGTGTCTTCTATGCGGTTCGTTTATAAAATTCTCAATTAATGATATTTTTAACATAGTGTAAATTGACTGAAGGTAAATTATCTGTTATTAAATCTGAGTGAAATAAGGCCAAACGTTTTCCAGTTTATGGAGGTTGAACAGCTTTCTGACAACGATAGTATTTTCATTATCTTGCGTTCATTTGTTTAAAAACTGGTAAGCGGAATTTTGGTTAAATTATCTTTTATGAAACAAGCTTTTGCAACATACGTTTTATTATATTATTTTTTCAGAAAATAAAAACAAAACAAAAATACATATGAATTATATTTTATGCTCGTTCTCGATTCAGACTTCATTTCAAGTGTTTTCCAAATATTGAGTAGTCCGCATTATAATGACATATAAAATCATCAAAAACTCAAAATTCGTACAAATCTCAAATGTATTTCTTGGAAAGTCAGCGTGATGCGGGAAGGGGTACAAGACAGAAAAGACAACCGAGATTAAGCAGTCGAGCTACGGAAAAGAAAAACATGAAAGCTATCGACGCCCATGCTCACGGGGAGCCGAAACCTGCCAAAGGGCGTTGCTCAAAAACGGGGAAAAAGGTGAGTTAAAATAAATACATACATGCAGTTCTGAGAAACAGCCATACGTCGATTGCGAAAATGCTAAACTAACATCCAGAGGAATGTAAAAGAAATTACAACAAAACAAACGGCATACACTAATGGCCAGACAAAAAATAAGTTATAAACTTTTTGTAGTTTTGTCGTTAATGAACCAGGTCTCCTTAGTCTTCCCGACACGATACGCCATTTTTTCTTCCTCAGTAATGGGTTTCTGTTTTAATTTTCTTCTTTCATTTTCCTTTTTATGTGTTCAACTGACAGCGATGATTGCCAACAGGACAAGAAATAGTTTTTCATAAATGTATGGAAGAAAATTATTATGATGAAACCCTTCTGACATAAATTGTCCAAACTGTTGGTCCATACTCCATCACCCCCACAGACCTCAAGAAGAAATTTCACAATATAAACATTTGTAATACAAAGACACAACTTCCGATTTTTTCCCTCTCTCTGTGGTTTTACAGACTGTACAAAAACAACACATATACAGGTAAAACGCACGGACTCAAAAATACATATAGGATACAGTTTATGCTATTTCTTTATCTTTTAGAACAGTGTGCAGTAAAAAAGTACGTTTGACATATTTTTAATACTTTCTAGTCAGCTTTAAAGAAATTTCATTATTTCAAACAAACAGGTTTAAAGCTGATTAAGGAAATTTGACAGAATGGATCAATAGGTTTTGTTCTCATAAAACTGTTCTTAGTAAATGACCCCATCTTCACCATATTCTATACTTTCCGTACCTATTGTTATCGACTAGGTTTCATTTGTGACTACTATCATTAAACAGTAATTTAATTCACCTTATTGAATTGAACTAATATGCATTATTAAAATGGTGAAAATGTAATCCAAACTGTTTTCTACCAATGGTCTTAGTTGGCTTCAAGCTTATTGAGGATACAATTAGAAGAAAAAGGTTTGAAGGTTAAATTATAACATTTTATGTATTTTTATGTATTGGTGAATTATCAACTAACATAGATCAACTGAATGAGTAGAGTGAACACGCCTGTGGCTTTAGAAAGGCCATGACCTCCTATTCTTCAAATTTAAAATTGATTTGTCCCATGTACAATACACTGCCAGATGCTACCTTTAGAAATCATAAGGCCAGGGTTTGTATGGTCAACATCCTTTTTGACTCATCTGTGATCCATATCAGTTTTTGGGATGGCTGGAGTGTCGCAATTGGATAATGTTGTTGAATTTAAATATGTTATTCAGTGTTTTGTTTAATTTTTAGTTAATGCATACAAAAAGAGAGACATATTTAACAGGGACTAGAGCTCTGAAGCTCTATTTGTTAATTTAGATTTTCGTTAATATTTAAGAATGGGATTCTTTTACAGTTTCAACACTTTTCTGTATTTGGGGTTCCCATACCTGGATATTTATTAATTTTTTTCTCATCTTGTATTCTTTTTTAAATTGGTACAATATATGGACTCTGAAAAGCTTCTTAGAGTTAAGAACAAAGTTGGTTTCTTTGTATTTAAATAACTTCTAGTAAATAAGCTCTAAAAACCAAAAATCTAAAATCTCAATGAAATATGAAATAACCTTTCACCCTAAATTTCTTTTTCGTTGGTCAAAAGATATAAAGATCAAATTATTTTGTAGAGGCTTGTCTCTTCAAGCAAAGTCTCGCATAATGAGTTCCGAAAAAGCCTCATAGATGCTATGAAAGACACCGGTGTCGAAATTGAACTGAGGAACACCGTTTATCACTGGCTACGCTCCCACAAGTACCCACCTATAGTCAAAGAGCCGCTGCTTTACCTCCGAAAGGCGCAGGTACTTGAATTATCAAAAAATGCTCCAATGTGGACATAATAATTCCACCGTCCCAATCGAATGCAGGCCCAATGGGAAAAAAGGATCCACAAGTCTTTGAATTCAATGGCGGCTGAAATCAAGGTGAGTCTATCACAGATGAGGACTCCAGAGGACAGGCAAGAGATGCACGACAAATGGAATGAACTTAGCGTGTATGACATCGGTTAGGTATTAACACTTAGTATTTTACTTTTGTGTTATGAGCTGAAAGGATCTAAATTATAAAATTAATTTTTCAGATCTCAGCCAGTACCGTCCAGTGTATGCTCCTAAAGACTTCTTGGAGGTTCTCATGTGGCTTCGCAGCCCAAACTACAAACCGATAGAGTAAGTCAACCAATTGATAAATAGAGGGGTGGGGGAAAATTTTAAGAAAACTGACATTAAGTGACATTTTAGGGGTTTTGATTGTAATAATGTGTTTATATCCTAGTGGTCTGGTGAGTTGGGAGTTTATTCATTTGCCTTTCAAAGTCAAGAACCTCAAAGACCTCGTGAGTAAACAGTCGAAATAACTTCAGACTGAATTCTGAATACCGATGTTATTCCAGATGAAGCTGTATAGTGAAATTACAAGAGGAGAATCTTTGATGGGCATTGACCCCGATGGCAAAGCAACACAATATCAAAATATTATTGGTGAAAGGACAACATTAGGAGAAAAAGGTTGATTCTGTCTTAATTTTGATTTTAAATTATCATAACCATGAATTTTATATTTCAGTTATTTCCTGCAGCCATGCCCCTGTTACACAAGAATTTTTAAAACGGGGTGCACCACGTTCTCTGAGGGCAAAGCTGTGGGCCCAGGTCCTTGGAGCTGAAGTCACCCCAGTTGTAAGTTACTTCTGCAATGCTTCAACACAATCATTCATATTAATTTTTATTTTCAGCTTAGGAAATATTGGATGGGCCTTAAAGGGTTGGTTATGCAGTATGATTTAATGGTGGATAAACTGATTATAAAGGTAATAAAATCTCTACTTAATATCATACTAAATAGTTAATACATTATTTATGCAGGACGTTCAACTTACGGCTTCTAATGATCATCAGTACTTTGTCTTTGAAGATGTTTTATATCAGGTGAAATAAAAACTTACAATTGCTCTACCCTACATTATTGTCCCTATTGTCAAAATTTATACTTTTTGAGTAATTGAATAGTTGTATAATTACATCTTTCTTCTGCTTAGGTTATGTTATGTTTTTCAAGAGATTCTGCTGTAATTGAAGTTTTCAATCACAGTTCTGCAAGTCCTTTACACGGTGTGTTAAGAGGAAAAGCGTCCAATGTTGAAAACACTGTCATTTACCCACCAAGTGGAGTTATACCATTCCATGGATTCACCATGTATGGTATGTATTTTAATACTTTGTGTTAACTTTTTCCATTACTGTTTAAATTTAATTGTAGCAACTCCATTCTGTTATTTATACGATGACCCGGCGGAGTTGTACTTTGTGTTCAGAGCTTTCTACTTAAGGTACTGGTTCCGGCTGCACGAGGTATCATCCCACCCACAAGGCATCCTGTCTCTGTGCCTACTATATGAACGTCTGTTGTACAAGCATGAGCAACAGCTCTGGCTACATTTCAAACGCCATCAAGTCCAGCCGTAATTAATCTCATATCATAAATGACAAAAAACACAAACTTATTGACTGTTATGTTCAGGGTGAGGCTCACTTTTAAATGGATTATGAGAGCTTTCAGTGGACACCTCCCACCTGAACAGGTCCTTTACCTCTGGGATATGATTCTCGGTTATGATTCAATGGAAATCCTCCCACTACTCGCTGTCAACATCCTTAGTCTTAGAAAAGATAATTTGCTATCTGTCAACACCATGCAAAACTTTGAGGTAACTTCATTAAATTTACTTTTTTCCTTGATTCTATTGAATATTTATTGCAGTCAGTTTTGGCCGATTTGTCGTCGATCCACGTAATGCCCATTATTCAGATGTGCCTGCTTAATTATGAGAAAGAGCTGAACAACTCAGGATTACTACAGGCAAACAACTCAAAGTTTCCATACGGCTACCCTGGATTCACAAACCAAATGGAGTCATCATGGCTGACTTCAACTATAGCCAACTCTTCAACAGCAACATGGATGAATGAGCAGCAAAATGAAAGCGAGAAAAGCAAAATCAACCTCGAAAACCTTGGGAGTGCCTCTTCCACATCGAGCAGCTCCTCAACACACTTGTCAAAAAACGACCCCAGTCCCATAACAATAACGGGCACTACATCGACCGTTGTAACCACAATGACTGTAACAAAGAGCTGACAGAAGAACACATGGAAAAGGAAAGCTAAATAGGATTGTCTCTTTATTGGGTGTGAAAAATGTGATAATTTGTCTTTTAAATCGAAAAATTCAATTATCAAATATTTTGTTTTTATTTATATTTTTATTAATTTATTACAATTTTATATATCAAAAATGCCTTATAATAATTGTTATATTAAAAAATATATACACTTAAAAAGCAATAAAATAAAACAAAACAACATTCAATAACACAAATTTACAAATACACCCAAACCTGTCTTTTATCTTAGGCTATCAAACCCATCTAGACTTTTTTCTCGTCTAGAAAATAAGACTCAAAATATAAAATATCTGAACATTGTAGTGCATTTTTCAAATGATTAATTGTAATAATTAAACAACTTTTCACTCTATAGAGCCACACTACATTCAGTTAAGCTAGTAAATTCTACTCAATAATACCTGAAGTGAAAACTAATCGTACTTTAGCATGAATTTGCATTATTTTAAATTACACACTTAGGGTCATCAGTGGCCACAACGGTTTAGGCATTGACACAGCACTCATTACTGTAAGGTAAAGGTCGAGGACTCAAATGCAACGGCCATGCATTCATACTCCCCCATACAAACAGGCTTTTTTCAAAATTACCGTCACCCCAAGGGTTCATATATCCTTGTTGGAATATCCTCATTAAAAAAAAAATTACACGCTTAGATCCTTGGCCTTCAGTATTTTTGTTTTATTTGAAGGATTATCTGATAGGATTATTATTTTCAATCAATTATTTTAGGCGATATTTCATTGTACATGCTGACCATTAGCAGCAGGATATAAGAATATGAAAATGTGACATTGCGTCTACAAACTAAATCTTTCTTCCTTATAAAATAATAATAATATATTTAAATATTTTTTCTAATATTTAGTTAAATATTATATTTTATCAGTAGTAGAAATAATAAACATAGTCCATGCAACAACTTAAAAATATGAAAGGAAACGTTTACAGGAAAATTTTACATGCAATAGATAATTACAACACTATTCAACTACATGAATAGCAAAACCACACACACAATATAAACAAATATGCAGTGCTATAAAGGTGGTAAAACAAAGTTGGAGTCACATTAAAATTAATGACCAGCAAATTAATATATTTAAAGTAATTAAATTTTAATAACCTATGGATATGGAGATATTAATTAAAGAATGGCATGTTATACTAATGTTATTTTTCTAAACTAAATATTGTCAGAGAACATAATTGTTTAAGTTGCTGTAAAATTGCTGAGCCTGTTTTGGCGTGCAGCAGTGAAAAGTGGATTTTCTTGTTGCCCAGGAGACAGCACTAATTTGTAGACCAGGCAGGTCACCGTCTTGCTTGTGAACTTGGTCAAAGGGCTTACTTTAGACGAATCCATGACTGTCCCTTAGCAAGAGGTTTTACTGTACTTTTGTTTTGTGTGTATCATCTTAATGAGATTAACAAATAACTGCAAGATCCACCAGCGAAATTGGATCCTTGTGGTGTGGTTGTGCAACGTACTATGTAAAAGGTCTCTAAACTTGCCCAAAATTTGGACTTCAAATTTCTAATTCCTGGATATAAAAACATTATTTTTGTAAATCTTAATATATTATTGAATGGCTTTTGAACATTAAAAGATAAATCATTTAATTTAAAGGTTATTTGTTTTCATACTAATTTTGATTACGCTAATCAAGAGGGAAAAAAAGTTTCTGCACAATTAGGCAAACACTTTTGTTTTTCAATGTCCACTATCTACATCTTGATTCTTTGTTTATTTTGTGTAATATTATCTTAATGGCAATCAAGTTTTGCTTATTTAGAATGATAATAGCCTTCAATATAGAAATATCTCAGACTACTCTGGAAGTAATGTTAGAATGTATAAGGAAGGAAAATCATTTTATGAAAATAAAAAATGCACTTAATAAGCGACCCTCATCAATTCATTACATCATCTTCCTGCATAAGGAGCCCGACAATGCAGAAAACAGATCATGTTTAGGTTGGCCAGAAAAATTAAACACCAACCAAAAGTGTGTGCCATTCTCAAAGAAGTGACCACCAACTGATTAAATATTATAATTAATTATAATATTTCAGTTATGCCCCAAACATAATACCATTAAAAATCAAGTCATGAATGGTCACAATCCCAGAAAGATACCCTATAAGCAAGAAGACCAGGGAAAAGTGCCTACAGTTTGCTAAAGAGCCTTTAAATAAGCCTGATGCATTTTGAAAGACTGTTATTTTCACCGATAAGAGCGAATTAATGTCTCAGGATCCGATGGAAGAAAGAAAGTGTGGTGTAAGCCAGGGGACCACTTGAAATTAAAGAATAACCTACCAACAGCTAAACATGGAACTCTTTTGATTTTCATATTGTCAATATACTTTTTTTTCTTTGTGTAGAAGATCGTGTCTTTTCTGTAGATTGACTTTTCTCCATTTTCTTATAGTGTAGAAATGATTGAGGTGAGGTGAGTATGTCGATTCACTTATTGGAAAATACAGGTGTAACAGACTTCCGTTTCTAGCAAGATAACAATCCCAGAACGGCTACTTCGGAAAACTCAAGAATGGCTACTACAAAATGTGTCTAGCTCATGACACCACTACAATCACACAATTTAAATTCTATGAGCACGTGTGAGATCATACTGTAAGGCAGCTTAAAAAAGTAAGAATAAAAACAAAAACCATCTAAAAGAAGAGAATGCACAGTAGTGGACTAATTACATCCCTGTACATGACAAAAAACTAGTTCTATAAATGCAAAATCATTTATTAACGATAATAAAAAGTATGTGTTGACCACAGATTACTGAGATAAAATGTAGATAAGTGTCAGTAAATAAATAAATGAACAATAAGTGTTCAGAGACTTTTTTGCTTGAAGCGAACAACTCTATATATGTACATATATGTATATTTGTATTGATTACTATTAAATATTATCTGACTTTTGTTGTTGAATAAAGTTTATAATTGCAAGACATTGTGTTTTCAATAAATTTAGCCCATTATTATTTACACTTAAAAGGTGTGCTTCTATTTCTTTGATGAAGCTTTGGTACTTTTTTCTAAGCGTATCAGACAGTCAGAAGTGTGAACGGCATGTGAATTCTCTATTAGTGACAAAGAGTTTTATGTTTTTTAATAAGTTAGAAGCTGTAGTTTTAAATAGACAAATAAATGAATAATAAGTTTTTATTGCAATTGTCCAGCAGGGATAACGAAAGTCTGATAATTATCACAGTCAAACCGTGGGATTGATGCTGCCCCAGTAGTTTATATGGGAACGCCAACCCTGGAGCAAGTAGTTTTTTTTAATGTAAAATGTCTTACCTGGCTTTCTTGCTAGCCAAAGCCCCAAAGCTGTTTTCACGCTTTTGGCTCGTTTCGCCGGTTGTTATAAAACTTAAAAAAAAAGTAAAACAGGATATTACAAGAAACGTCCGCTTCGACCAAAGAACGAAAAGCGCGGTTTTTCGGTACTTCCAGGGCGACCGAAAAGGCGGGAAGACCGCGCCATCCGGCTACCTTATCACGAAAGATAACACGTTGTACAACTCATTTATTTATTTATTATTATTTTATATTATATTTTAAGATTGTCAAAAAGGAAAATATTTATTAAGTAAAGTGTAGAAAATAAACTGCCAGGAAAGACGTATCAAGCTCGCGCTGCTAGATGAATTAACCAAAGGTTGTCAGAAAATCTTCATTGTGCAGTTCAACTATCAAAACACAAAGTTGTACGATGTGGATTTTTAGAAATTGAGTGGAAGAATATTGTTTAAAATTGAAAACAAAAATCTCAAAAGTTATATCAAAAGTACAAACTGTAGATGTAACCAACGTGAAGGTTCCCATGATATTCGTCATTTCGTCATTCGTCGTTCGTACTTCACACTGTGAAGAATTGGAATAGTGCTCGTGCGTTTGTTGGACTGTTGTCAGTTCGTACGACGATAGTGAAAAGTAGATGTGTTTAAAAACCAACACAAATGAGCCCTGTAAAGCCGAAAACAAGTGACATTTCTCGCGAGTTCCGACGGCCCCGGAAATACGTGAATTGCCCCGAAGTGCGGGCGTCAACACGTGGGGCCGGCAGTGTATTTTCGAGGATGATTAACGATTCTCATTTACCCATCGGCCTCATCGTTGCCGTGAAGTGACCCTCATCATTGTGGATAAGAAAAATTCTCATTCTCTCCGTCCGTCTACTTTCTGGCGCAGGTCTCTTCCAGATAGCTCGGCGTGAGTGTTCCATTCAATACACGATATCCGCTCGCTCGGCTGACGCCAGGTTTTTAACATATTTTTTTATATATTAGCTATTAAGAATTTTACCACTGGAATAGTTAGTGGGAAATCGCACTTTCATCATTATCCCAGTTGTCCATTGCCAAGGACGAACTGATTCCCCAACTCTGATATTTTATTAAAACTAGTGATTTTACAAATTTTATAAATTTAGAATAAATAATAAAAAAATTTCATTTTGGCAGAACAAAAGCCACAATGTCCCTTTTGTAACATTTCAAAATGGCCAACCGTTTCCGATATAATTTTAACGTAAATTAAAGCAGATCAATTATCATTTGATTATGGATGCACGAGTTTTACATTTGGTCGATTTAAAAAAAAAAAAACTTGTAAGGCAACAACCAAAATAAAATTCAAGCGAATCGAGTCTTAAAAATAAAAGTTCACATATTTAGATAGGTAATTTTGATGTATAAAATTAATTTTTCCACAATTCGTCAGCCATTTTTAACTGTTCCAACCAATATCTGAACCAAATATTTTTTTATTTCATTTATTTGATATTTATGACTACAAGTGATGTATTGAGTAAATATGTACGTAGTGAATCCAATCGGAGGTGCATTAAAAAACGTCCAAAAAGATGGTGGGTTACAAATATTTCACGGCTGGGATCAGCACGGGAAAAATCTTTTGGACGTTGAGATTAAATGATGGCGCAGGCCGCAGGGTTCAGAAATTTTTTGAGGATGTCCACGATTTCGAAACCTTTTTAATGAAAGTTGGCGGGAAAATTTCCATGAAAGATACC